AAATACAGTTATTCTAAAGCTGTTTCAGACTATAAAATAAATACATGATTGTGAAGTTAATAACTAAACAACTGGAAAGCGAAACTAATAACGGAACAACATTTCATCAATACCTATCCCAACATGACATTATTGAGGTAGGTGATTAGTAAAATGTGTCAGAGATATTAATCTTTACTTAACTGTTACTCCATGCTCGATCAGCCCATAACCTACTTATTAATCACACTATCATAACACATACACTTCAGACAATAAATAACTAGTTATATCTTCAGCATTGGTAAAATAACTACAACTGCCTTATGAAATTTAAAGGGCAAGTAAACAAATTGATTAGGGGTAATAATATGCAAGATTTAAATCAGCACATCAAAATACCAATGTTTACCTTCTCATAACTTAACATTCCTAAATAAAGATGTTTTGATGAAGTCATTTTAGTATTCATCAAGGACTTTCCATAATGAAAACTTGAAATTTCCAGGACATGTATGAATTCAATATAATAGATTCAAGAGACTAGAGGTAACTAATATGATGCCAACGTTGAATTGATAAATTCAGCTTTCTCACTTTGTACACTAACTTTATTATTTTTAGTATGGACAATTGAATAAAAACAGAATAACCAGTTATACATCACACCTTTCAATATAGGAATCTGATCCCTCCAAAAATAAGTTTTATAACTTTAGTTACATATACTTGTACAAAATCATGAAGACAAAGTGTGTAATGTCCCATCAGTGATTGAGACCAGACAAATGGACATTAAGAAAGAGGCCCTTGTCTCATCTCACCCAAACTGAAGTATTATTTTCCTTCCAGTTGACAACCTGCACTATTATTGTCACATTTACTAACAGACAGTTAGAAAAATGACTATAGTGAGGTGCTTTTTATGGAAGGATAAAATGATCCAAGGACAGATTTTCTTGATGGAAGATGCACAATAAAGCTATGATTAATGAAAAAACAAACTTCTGATACAATGCACCAAGTCTAAAGTAAATCACAGCTGTTGTTTTTTTCCTTCTTACTATGCAAGTTATAGTCAACAGTTTGAATAAAAAATGTAATGTTTTCTTATAGGAATATTTATTAATTTGGTAAGATTAGAAATTAATGCTCTTAATTCTCTGTGACCCAAGTTGTATGGCTTGTTCAATTGTTTTGTGATTAAACCACTGAAAGAAATAATTTGAAACTTCATAATTACTTTCTATATATATATATATTACTTTTTATGAACTTGCAGTCTCGAAATTTCAGAAAAATTCCCTGTGGTGCACTTTTTTAAAAGAAACAAAAATGCTTACCTTCATTGTAGATATTATGGTGTATTCTATTCAATTGTAGAAATTAATTACTGACCTATATGTCTCACTAAATTCTTAAAACTTTCATATAAACTTATTTTATAAAATAACAAACAGTTTCAGTATTTACAATCATTGACATACAATAACCACTATGCCAAAATTAGAGAAAAGACAACTAAATTTTTTTGTCACTCGTGGGAGGGAAAAAAACAGAATAAGTTACATTTTTAATTCAATGGTGAAATTTAGCTCTCAAAATCAAAAAAATTTTTAGGGAGCATAAAGCTAACTATATACTATCAACTAATGGTCAAGAACCATGGCTGATGAATACTTCACTTCAGTACACTACGGTGATCTTGTTTCTCATAGTAGAACCTGTCACTTGTTAGATTGTGTGTGTGTGTGTGTGTTTATATGCATGTTATTAAAACAAGGATTTGATCAATGATCTTTCTCATTAATCTTCACCAAAGTTAGTCTCAAATTTGTATAAAATAGCAGATTTTCTCCAACTGATCATAATGGTTTTAGCTGACTAGATGTTTGGAATGAACATTATATGTGAAATTATAGTATATATACACTGAAACATAATGAAAACAATTGGGGGTATTCAATATCAGCCACTTAATATTCACTGTAAATCAAATGTAAAAAATAAAAACTTTGAAAGATTTCAACAAATCAACATTCAAATAATAATTTCTTCAATAGATATAATCACAGCTGTTTTAACAGAATGAAGCACAAAGCATTAAGTTGATAACTAGAACAGAAAATGTTTTAGTATCACAGCTTTGTAGCAGAATGAAGCACAAAGCATTAAGTTCGTAACTAGAACAGGGAAAATGTTTTAGTATCACAGCTTTGTAGCAGAATGAAGCACAAAGCATGAAGTTGATAACTAGGACAGAAAATGTTTTAGTATCACAGCTTTGTAGCAGAATGAAGCACAAAGCATGAAGTTGATAACTAGGACAGAAAATGTTTTAGTATCACAGCTTTGTAGCAGAATGAAGCACAAAGCATTAAGTTCGTAACTAGAACAGGGAAAATGTTTCAGTAGCTTTGGTTTGTTCATGATGACTACATGCTAACTGTTCTTTAAAAAGTTGAAGCAACTATCATATCATAAAAACGCATTTAAGCACATATAAAAGTTTAAAATATGTTCATTACCCAAAAGTATAAGTTCGCAAAATCAGCCTTTTCACTCAAAAATTAAAAAAAAATTACCTCTCTTTCCACTGATACATAGAACTGTTTAATACCTTCCAAAGTGAGTTCTTCCTTCTTAACCAAGATTCTGATTGGTTCTCTCATGAAACGTTTGGTGACTTCAAGAACATCAGCGGGCATTGTGGCCGATAGCAGAATTACCTGCAAGTAAAAACAATGTAGAACTTTCAAAACACAAATTTTACAAGTTAAACATGTATTCCTTAAAATGATTCTAGCATTCTTAAGAACTAAATATTAACTCATATCTTCGATATCTAGAAATAAACATGTCTGATTGACCACTTTTCATGCCTACACTTTTTGAACAATCTTAACCAAACTTTTTATTCACCCTTAACCCTATAGAACCAATGGTCACTTCTCCAGGGCTGAGGGGCACACTTGAACAATGAACTTCACAATTTAAGTAAAAAGAGTAATCTAACTATTTAAACATTTGTTTTACTCAAACATATCTTTGCAAAATTTTAGTGTAACTTATAATGAAATAATTCAAATATTTTTAAACTTTGATCTCTGTATAGTTTCAATAGATATCACATTCAAAGTAGTTCTTCCACATTTAAAAAAAAATTTCTAAACTTCTCAAAGTTTAGATTTCATCAAACTCTGGCATCCATTACAAATACTTATCTGAGGGTCTTATTTTCCAAGTGACTTATTTTTTAATCTCAGTAATCATATAAGAAACCTGTGCTGAGAAGTTATGATACTACCGCAAGTGGGTTGGATAGAAACAAATAAACCTTAACCTCCAAACAAGATAGAACCAATGTTGAAACATAATTGGTTAGAAAACATAGTCTAAACCATTGTAAAGTAAGTAACACTTGAGTGAGCAATAATACATGATATCTGAAAAATTGAGTAGCAGCAGAAGTTCTTATAGTGGAGAATTTTAAAGTGAAGTTTACAAAATTTAAGAAGACATAAACTATTAAGAAAGGAGAAAAGCTTTCTTTCTTTTTTATGTTTGTGTATTACTAAACGTATTATTAGTCAACACACATAAGTACAAGAACTCCTTAGGTATTGAAGACTGTAATTAGATATTGATTTTGACCAAAAATACTGTATTTATCAGTGTAGGCCTACTGCATTTCTACTGGTCAGTGATTTTAATGTGCATCAGTTTTATGTCATTTCTGCAGCTTAAGTGTTTCAACAGGTAAATATAAATAACAAATATGAATAACTGAAAAGAAAACAAACTAGTATTCATTTAATATATATAATGTAACTTCCTATTATGTAGAAGTATCCAGTTGTATTTCTGCCTTTCATATTTTTATTACTTTCTCTGTATGAGATGAGAAAATGAGTATTCCATTATTAGAACACAGACACACAGTTAGTTTCATTAAAAGTTAGTTAACATTTTTCTTACACTAAAAATGTATTTCCAATAGGTACCTACCTCTTCTCACACAGAGCTATCTTAATCCTTTTCTACCATCTACAGCATTGTTAAACATTTAGCAATCGGCGCACCAGTCTTTACACCCCATCACTTTTGCACCATTTCTGAATATGTATGCATCATATGACTACTCCCCACCAACAGTATTGCACCATCTATATTGGCACAGTTGGTTCCCTCTGCTATTCTCGCTCAATTCTCACTTTCAAGAATTGGTATACTCTAAAATGAGAATGCCGGCCATGAGGAAGAAGGGTGGGAAGTGTGTGAAAAGAGGTAGGTACCTATTGGAAATACATTTTCAGTGTAAGAAAAATGTTAACTTCTGATACAGTCCTTCCTCCTCTCACACAAAACTAGAATCCCACATTACAAAGGTAGAGGTTCCAGTGAGGGCACACAAACATCAAACCAAGCAGAAAGCAATCACCCAGAACGAATGGATGGATGTGCTCGGAAATGAAAATGAAGCACACCTGTAGGGTAGCGTACTACTTCTGGAACAAATATGCTCTTCGCCTAGGAAATCAATCCGAAATGGGCAGAAAAGGAAAATACTTGCACAAGCATAATATATTCTGATAGGTGGAAGCTGGAGCATCATAAAAACAGAATTAGCTAGGTACATATCCAACCTCAACCAGACAGAGAAGGTTCCATAACTCGTCCTTGACATAATATTATTGTGGCTAGGACATGTAGACCGTGTTATATATATGTTAGGGATGCATTGGCACCCGGCCAGATATTCTTGTTCTAAGCAGCAACGTATGACCACCCACCCGCCGAAAGTCCGGGATTCTGAGAACAATAGAGGTTTATAACAAGCATGGCTTGAGAAGTGGATTTCTGGAGAAGGTGGGGGTTTTGAGAACAATAGGGGTTAAGATTTGAGAAGTTTGGGCAAGGTAATGAAAGTTGAAAGTCAAACTTGAATGCTCTGTTCGTGATTATTCGGTTGAATGTAATAAACGTCAATTTTGTTTGTTTTGTAATTTCTGTGTATGATTTTTTGGGGGGAAGAACCTGAATTTTACTACCCGTGCATCCCTAATATATATATATATATATACATAGATAGATACATACACCAAACAATCCCAACTGTAAGTAAACAAAGTGCCATGCATCAAGAAACCAGAATTACAAAGAGGAAGTGAGCTTTCAGTCAAAATTGGACAAACTCCTAAAACAACCATAGGAGCAAAGCATATGACAAACTGAACCCGGCATTACAAGGTCATGGCATTGCTTCAACCATAAGAATAGGGTAATAACTGTAACCAGTATTACAGGTAAAATCATAACTCATCCAACCATAAGTGCAAGAAAGAGACATCCTGCATCCAGAATTACAAGGAGAACATGGAATATTCACCCAACTGTGGAAACAGAGCACGTACATCCTGTTGCTGGAATTACGAGACAGACAAGGTCTTCCAAACTCAACCACTGGAGCAGGGAAAGAACCTCCTGCAACCAGGATTAATGATAAGAGAGGCATCAACTACACACAACTGTAGGAACAGGGCGGTGTCATCCCAAACCTGGAAAGATGAAAAATGGAAAGGTGGCAAGAACAGAAACCATGGCAGA